ACGATCAGGAAGCAAATATTGTCATTTAAAGGAACCCAGACTGAAATACGTTGTTACTGACAATAAAAAAAAAAGCTAATTGGGTTTACATTTGTTTTGGTCATCACATAAATGATAAAGGCATACACCGTAAATTAATAAAATGGAAATTTTATTTTGTTGCAGCCCGGCTGAAAAAAATAAAAACACGGTCAACAGTCTGTTGAACAGTAATAGTTCCACATAAGAAAATCCTGCCTGTTTTTGATATTGCAGAGCTGTAATGACAGAGCCATAAGGTAGCAGAAGCTCCCGGTATAACTCGCCGGAGGCTGCACAACGGCTATAAAAATTCATAGCTTTGGACCTAGACCACAAATCTCAACAACACATTTAACATAATGTTTCCTGCACCAGGAACACCAGCTCGTATATGGCTCAAACAAAGAATAATTTGCATTTGAGTTCATCCTGAATGTTGCCAGTATATTTTGTGACTTTTATTGTAAAGGTGATAAAATTAATTAAAATTCATGACAGGACTTTTAGTCAGAGCCTCTTAAAATCAAACATTGCACTAACAATAAAACTTACCAGTTATATTATATTGTTATATTTATACAGCAGTAATATTCACCTGAACTATTTAATTCAACCAGAGCTTACAAACATCCCTATTTAGAGATTAGAAAGGCTAATTATTCATCGAAATATAGGTTTCTTTTTTTAACGATGACGATAAATGACACAATAATTGCCAAATGGCTCTCATCAAAAGAGCAGCAACTACAAAAATAATCATCGTGTTAATAACTGTTTGGCTCAAGTCTTTAATGGGCCTTCCAGTTTCCAGATTAGCGTTTTTGTCAGCGCAAAGGGCAATTGTGTCACAGCGATCAATCATTCAGAGCTTCTGTCTCTTCATTCGGAGACCTTTAGCGAGGATTCATCGCCGCGTTGGTTGTAAATGAGGATGGAGAAAGGAACAGCTTGCAGGGATCCATACAGTAAAAGCGCAACCTGTTGTGGCTGCGGGCTGCATTTGAGGGATTTAAGCCTCAAAAACGACAACCTTTCTCCTCGCAGAGGTGATGAGCAACATGCGGGCCGAGGACGGCAAATGCCACAGACGGGTATTGTTCATGAGGGATTATCAAGTCAAGCCTTCTGGCTGCAAAGATTGTAACCCCAATATGTGCACAGATACACATCAGCACCATGTAAGCTCCGAAATGATTCCTGGAAGGCTGCGCATGCATACATGCCCTCTTCAACTCCGTCAAATCCATGTTTTAATCACTTCCACAGAAATTTTCACCGGCCTTGCCTTGCCCATTTTCTCTCACATTTTTTCTCTCTCTCCACCCAGTTTCTCTGGTGGCTTTTTGAAGACTTAAGTTCTTCTCATTTCTCCCCTCCCCGCTCTCTTTCTTACAAGGCAAATCCTGGGAGAGGTTGATGTGAAGACCAGGCAGAGCAGGGATGTGAAGAATATAAACACATTTTTTTTTATTGTCCAGGGGGAGGAAGGAGGGGTGTGTGTAGTGCAAGTGTGCAAAAGGGTTGGGCGGTGGGGTCTGTAAAAGAGACGAGGACCTTATCACAGCCCAGCAGCTCTGTAATTCGCCACCATGATAAAGTGGCAGCGCGGAAAACCTTACAAGGCTGGCACAATCCAAAGACGGATTAGGTTTTTCTGACATAAGCTTCCTGAAAAACTAATCAATCAGCCCGTGCAGCATTATCAGGAGCGTGAGATTAAAGAGCTGCTCCTAATCCCCCCAACTGTACATTTTATTACACTTCCCAGTGTTAAGTTGCCTTTAAATATAAAGTAAATAAATAATAAAACCAAACCTAATTGAGCATGGGTAAGAGAAAGAGGGTTAAAAGGTCCTTAGAGAGGGAATTTGTGTGGAATTTGTGTTTTGTTACAAAGACATGGATAAAAGTGTTGTCCTTGCTGGAGCCGACTCTGACTTTGAAAGGAGCGTCGCTCTCTCTGCCGCTGCGGAGAAAATAAGGAGCACAAACTGCTTTTATTTAAATAAACTAGCGGCAAATACTACATGAGGTTCGAATTCTGCCCTCCTTCATCTCCTGGTGGAGAGATAAATCATCAAACAGCCAGGGGCTTTTTTGACGTGGCTCAGTAGCCGGGGTGCCATGTCAGAACACTCCGAACACTGAAATGGACTTTTGATTCAAGGGCTACTTTACTATTTTATTCATTTTTAAAATTATATTCTTCGATTATTATGTATTTCTGGAACATGTCCACTTTGTCACTGAAATCTACAATACCGGTTTGCGTAATTCTAGACTACGTACATAATATATTTTTCTCTTAATGCCTGAATTTATTTACAATTATATAGGAAACTAAATAATGTAATTTTTCAGTCAAACAGATTCTAGATTAATGTGAAAATAGGGCATCAACTAAAAAGATTTAAATATTTTGTTTTGATTAAGTTTAACTTTCACATAATTGGGTAAAACTCTCACATGGCAGCATATGTGCTGAAATTACATTAATAGGCGTGAATCTTATGCAATGAGGCAGCCCTGCAGTTTGAGGTGACTGTCGCAAAAATAATCTAATTTTAGATTCACGAAACCTGATTGATCTGTAAAAACAAAAGAAGAGCAGTTTATTTATTTTTTTGTTTTCATTAACGTAACAATGATTGAGACAAGCGTGAGAAGCATGATAACCCTAAAAGGTCAAAGGGTGCAGAAAAAAGGGGCTCATCCAGGACCAATTATTGCACGAGCTGCTGCCACTGCATGCAGCACACGTAGATAGATAAATAAATAAAAGCTCACAACTACTGCCAAAAGCTTTGAGAAATCACTTGTAATCCCTTAAATCACTGCACATCAAAGTTCGACGGAAGAACCGCAGGCATGTCACAGTTCCGAAAACAAAATGCATCCAGGCTCGTTTCTTCACTCTGATCTAACTTTATTTACTTTTTAAACACAGACGTGTGTGTATATATATATATATGTCCTTTAGGTGACACAGGAGGTTAGCACTGTCACTGATCCCATCAGCACGGGCCTCGTTGAGCCTTTGTTCCAACATAATACGACCACAGAATCGCTATCCTGGCTATAACAGCTCAAGCTGGTAAAGTCTTTGTCAATGTCTCTTCATACTTAATCCTAATCTGAGTTTTAAAAGCTACACATTCCACTGTGAGAAACTCTGTGGGAGTAGAGTCACCCAGGGCAGGCAGAGGGGAAAACAGCGGAGAGGCTTTAATAAGTTTCGTCTTCATCTGTCCTGTTGTCATTGAGCTGGGGATAAGTGCAGCACATGTCACAGGGCAGAACCCACTCTCCCAGCATGGCTTTGACCCTTATATTTGTCCCTGGGGTTTGACAGAGATGCTTACTTCTTCTCCACTTGAAGTGTATGTAAAGTGAGTGGGAGGAAATGGATGTCCAAATGCAATGTAAAAATGTATTTTAAACTGAGCATTGCTGCATCCTATTGCAGTTTTGACTATGTGTTGTCTTGTCTGTTCTATTACCTTTATACATAAACATCTTTAAAGTTCAGTTTCTTTTATGTTTTGAGTGAATCTCAGCTAGATTTTGTAGCCTACAAAACTGAAGTGATATTGATAAAGTCTAAAATTTCCCCAGTCAGACGTTTGTGGGTGTCCTGGGAGGAAAGCCACCGAGGCATATAAAGAGAGCCTCCCCTGGGAGGTGGCCTGCCTATTTCTCTCTGGAGGCGCAGCTCCCAACAGGCTCAGTGCTGATTACAACAGAACAGACAGCCTTCTGCTGCTGCTGCTGCTGCTGCAGCTGCACGGTTCAAGGCTATCTTTAAAAGAAGCTCTCTTTGAGGATTGAGCACAGATGTGAAGAACTTTTTTCAATCCGATGGCATTTCGCGTTCAAGTCTGATCATGGAAAGGGGATAATCAGGATAAAACCAACAATGATAAAAAAAAAATACAATATATGAAGGAAAAATGTAGAAAGGACACATCAGCAGATGTTCATCAAAGAAAAGAAAACCCTTTGAATTTCCCCAAAGATCACAATCTTTCTTTATAGGGTTTAAAGCAATAAAAACAAAATCACACTAAAGGAAGATTATATCAAAAAAGCTTAGCACAATAAATTTCTAGTAAAGCCGAAGTAATTTTCCTTGCACTGACGTAAGCCTTATGTGAATTACAAAGAAGAAGTAGCAAAAGCTTTACAAGAAATCCCCTTTTTTACTTTAATCTCTTACTTGAATGTGTCCTTTTTAAAACTCTGGCTTATTTTGTTCTACGCCAGAGCAAGTATATTTACCAAATGTTACCAGTTCGACACAAAGGTTCCAACTCACAGCTGGGACCAAAAATAAATCTTACTGAAACAAAGGAGGTGTTTTAGGTCAGGCTGCAAGTCAGAGAAAAAGGACATGAAAGTCAGCTTGATGAAAAATAAGAAAACTCGGCAAGGACACACAAAAGAAAGGACTTCTCTTGACATTTTCTCAATAGCTGTCATATATATATATATATATATATATATATATATATATATATATATATATATATATATATATATATATATATATATATATATATATATATATATATATATTAGATGTTATTTTACAGGAAAGGCACTGTGAGGTATAAGGGAGTTTACTTTAATGTCTGATATTTTGCAAGCGACAAAGACTACAATCAAGTGATAGTATGTCTCTATAAAGTATGGTACTCAAGTGTGTAGCTTTCTCTAGTTTCTTTTGCGTTCTTTCTGAAATGCTGAGACTTGAGCAATTCGGTAATAAGTGCCTCCAGTCAAGACCAAATTTCAGCACAATTTTGTAAAACTGAATGGGAGGTTTATGGTCTGACGTTAATAAGTTTTATCTAACAAAATAAACTCCATGCAGTTTCAATAAATTGTAATTCAACACAATGAGGGCTACCCAGACTAAGTTTCAAAGTGCAACTTCAACACAGAATAGAAATGAGCTACTCAGTGAACCCAGTACTCACCTGGTGCAGGAGAAAAAACAGCAATAATGTTTGCAGGGCTCTCATCTTCAGCGACTCGTCAGTTTTAGTCAAGATGAGCGGCGGTTAAATCCTCTCTGAAAGACTTGGAGAGTAGAAGACGCGCATGCCGCTGAAACATCGCTAATATCACCTGCAATGAAAGTGGAGAGATTTACCAAAAAAAAAAAAACCTTCAGTAATAGAGGGTTTTATTTGTCCTTACTGTTCTGCAAATTTACAGATACCTCGCGCTGGAATCCTTCCTGTTCAATCCAGCAAAGAGTTCTACAATCCTCTTTAAACGTCCCCGTCTCTCAGGATGCTGGAATTTCCTCTAATGAGGCGCCTTCAAACAGCGACTTAGTTGTCTAAGTTTCAAATCCCGCCGAACACTTTTCTTCTTTTTAATCCGGAGCGATTTGAGCAAGAAGTTGTCTCTGTGCGTCGTGAAATTCTACCAAATGAGTCCCGAACCGCCGGTGCCAATGACTGCGGTCAGTCAAGCAGATCGTTCCTTCAGCTCTACTTGACTCCAGTGCGCAAAATCCACCGCTGCGCGCTTGGAGACTCCAAGGTCGGCGCGCATCTGCTCAGAGCCTCAGCACCTGAAGATTTACCTCTGAGAGTCTCCCTCTCTCCTTTTTAAAGACATAAGTAAGAGGCTTGATGTCACAGTTTATCGCTCTTTTCTCTCTCTCTTTAACCCTTTAAATGAATAGAAGTGATTAACTTGAAAGAATGAATGGAGGTTGTCGCATTTTCAAAATGGCTTGAGAAGCGCGTTAAAACGGTCTTATGGCGATGTCAAGAAAGCTCTTCATATTTGGAATAAAACTTATTAGGTTCTTGTTTTGTTTTCAGCTTATAAAAGTGTCTCGCCAAACTGGGATTTATTTATTAATTTTCTTTAGATGGTGAGTAAAAGTTTATTGTTTGGGAAGCAAACTCACTTCAGATCATACAGGGAAAGACAGCAAACGATGTCAAACTGCATGCAAGTGAAAAAGCCTTTTCACTCTGTCCACGGTGGACAAGACCGGACCGATGAAGTTGCTCTATAGAACGTGTTCCACTCTGTAAAATGATTGAAATAAAACAACTGTTCAATGATCCATTTATTTACTCTGTACAGAGTGCACGGCTGTCGTGTGGTTGCAACCACACGATGGAGCCAGAATGTAAAAAATGTCATCGGTCCGGTCTTGTCCACCGTGGACAGAGTGAAAAGGCTTTTTCACCTATATGCAGTTTGACACCGTTTGCTGTCTTTCCCTGTCTGATCTAAAGTGTATCTTCAGCTGCTTCCCAAACGTTAAACTTTTACTCACCATCTGAAAGTTTTCCACTGAAGTTAATGAAAACATGACACTGTAGATTATGTAAATAGAATAGGGCATCAAACATTTAGGACATTTTTTATGGAGAAATATAAGTGTATTGAAAAGCATTGCTACTTTGAAGTGACCTTTGACTTGGCTAACAACCATAATCAAAATGCATATTTTAAGTTACTCTATATACACTGAACACAGAAGGCTTTACAATTGTGTAATTAAAAACTGGTTTATAACCAGGATCCAAAATTATAACTACTGAGCCTTTTCACAAAGTTTTTACTTTACAAATACATGTTGTGATGGGTTGTATTCTGTGTGTCTGAGCTGTGTCTGATTGTTTTGAGTGTCTCTAAACTTCAGTGTAAAAGGTTTTGAGCATTTTTACTTTCATGGTTTCCCTATCAGCGCCGTCTCCTGTCCCAGCATCTCTGATCAACGTCCTTGCCTTACCTCATTCCCACAACATGCTGCTGTCACTGCTGTTTTTACCAAAGGATTTGTGAGTTCAGGTTCATGTTAAATGTTTTTGGTACAAAGCATTTCAGCAAAACCTTTTCTCTTGCCACTCTTTCATAAACGCCACATTTATGGTGTTCATTGCTAATAGTTTTTTGTCTGCAGATTGTCGACCCTGAATGTCCATTATTTCAAATTTTGTAAATTTCCTTGAGTTTGATATGTAACCACCCGTACACATCCACCATGGATTGGATTTACACTGATTTACTCTCAAAAAAGTATTATTGCAAAATAAATTTCTGTTAGGAAAGATGATGTCTTATCTGTCTTTTTAACTTTGATAAAATACTTACAAAGAAATATTAATAAAATAACAACAAATGATAGGAAGACATGATGTATTTTAAACATTTCATTTATTGCATCAGATCCTTAACTATCAAGTAATTAAAGCAATCAAACAAAACAAGCATGAAGGTAGAGCATACAATACATATTATAAAACCGCAAAATTAAAAACAAGGAGCACATAATTCCAGTGTTCAGAACTGTAAATATATAGTAAATGTGCTTTGTCACTTTGCACCAACTGAGCCAGATCTATTGTAGAAACAGTGATAAGATGATCAAAGGCCAGTGCAATAACTGCGGTTATTTGATAATGCTCCAATTTATCACTCATTCACATTTAATCTGACAAATTTGAATGAATGAAGGCTTAAAGTACAGAAAGTTACTTTTGACACATTTTCTTATCATTAATCATTAAGCTAACAAACTTGACTATATGTCTTTGCTGAACTGCTGACATAAGTATGACTGCACATGAATACTATCAGACTTTACACCTCAGACTGACTCAACCTTTCACATGAGCTGGACCTGCGCCAGCGGTACAAACTCAAAGACCTTAACAAATGGTTTCACATCATGGAGTTTCTTGGCTTATTCCTTATTTGCAGTTGGAAAATGGCTCAGCAAAAAGAAAGAACGTTTTAAAAGTTGAGGATTTCTGCTTCTGTTGGTGTTTGGCGCCATCATGTGGCAGATTCTGTATATTGACAGCTAGATTTGACACTTCTGTGGTTTTCCTCACGCTTCTTTAATCCGACTTGGCTTCAGAATGATGACGATCACACAGTAATAGCTTCATATTTTTCTAACTAAAACGTTGCATTTTCAACAATTTCTCGTTCCTGCAGTGTTTATAGTTGCAATTGGAACTTTCCAGTACATTTCATCATATGAACTTACTACAAACACCACAGAACCATGGCATATTACATTAAGAAGCCTGCATTTCTCTTGTCATCAATTTCCAAATTTCATAACAGATGGAATAAGTCCAGTAAGAGGCTCTCAAACAAAGCACCACAGGGTAGACGCGTGAAAAGAGCCACAGACTTTTCTACAGAAGTCCGATACATAGTCACTTAAATTATATCATCTCCTTGATTATTTGTATCATATTTATTTACTTTGTACTTGATATTTAACTCTTGCAATATTATAAGCAAAGTTCAGTTGCATGATTGTATTTGTGTATAAATCACAGAAATCCAGTCCACGCCTACTTTTTATCAGTGTTTTCATAGGTCAGGACAGTGGGGCTGAGTTCACACGGTGACACTTTATGATACAGACTGTTTGTACTGAACAGGACATTCAAGTAATGAACAAAAGAAGGGCTGGTAGGAAAGACTGGGTCATAGTGTTTCCACTCTCTTTTTAGAGAAAAGGTTGATTCGAGGACTATGTACACTGCTAGGTGTGTGTGCTCAACTTGTCATCCCTATGCTGATTAGGCAGAAATATTTCAGACTGAATGTATGTATCAGGTTGGATATGACAAAACAACCTTTTAGCTGTCAATTACATCATAACTCTAATGTAAAAAAAGCAATGTTTAAAATGATCGTTAATTGGATTTCATGCATGTGGCACACCACTGATGGATCATACCTCCTTGTAGCCTTATGAATTGAACAGTTTTCCACTATATTCATGGTTAGATATTGCATGAAACTATACAATAAAATCAGATTAAAAGTAAATAAAAATTAACAAAAGAAAACTATACCTAGGGTAAGTCTTGCAGTATAATTATAAGTGCAAGACTTATAATCACAAGTTAGGTTAATTTGTCTGAGTTAGATGTATATGTTCCACTTGTCAGTTTATGCTATTTCAACTAAAACATTGCAGCATCATCTCTACAGAGTAAAAGCTTGCAACAGAGGTATTTTCACCATCTCCACATCGCATCATCCTCTTTCTTGTATATTCTAATTTATGCAATTTTCACCTAATTCCATAAGAACCTTCTAAGGTGTTTAAGTGAATAAAGTTACACAACAGAAACAAAACACAGTACATTACAAAACGACAGATTATATTAATCCTTGAACTGAAATTCACAGTAAATCAGCAGTAAGGTGAACAATATCAGCAAAACAAAAAAGTAAAAATATTTTTGATTGGTGCAATGAACAGAAAGAATATATTCCACACATATCAATTAAATACAGTTGTTTTTTTTTATTGTAATCTATTTGTTGATCATATAGATAGATATGTGTTGCCTGTCAGAAAACAGAAATTTTATAGTAAAAAATGAAAGGAACAAATCAATGTCAATGTCCTATAATTGCATCATTTTCATGAAAGGGAGAGAGAGTATTAGTATTTTTATATTTTAACAAATGTATTTGAACGAAGATGATATTAATCATTTGGAGATTTCTCATACATTGAGACCATAGGATACTGGAGAAAAGACTAACTGATAATGAAGGTACAGCGTGCATGGACTGCTTTGCATAGTTTTTAACAAAAGTTGTCTGACTACCTCAAAAGTACAAACTGTTCCAGGACAGTTTGATTGCCAACTATGTATGTCATGCAGGTGGTCAGGTAAAAGAATGAACTCTTCCAGAGCGCTTTGTCTTTAGATTAAACATATGTTGCTCAACAGATCTGCACAAAACAGAAGTCAAAGATTTTCTCTTTTTGTATTTAATTGAGATTTTTAAAAAGAAATTAGGCACATCAGTTACTTACATAAATCAGTTCCGTGGGCTAAAACAAGTTGCCCAGAAATTCTAGGAATTACTGGTTTGATAGTATCAGTTTCCTCTTTACAGAGGGGAGTTGGTTTCCTATTACAACAGGCTTTGCACGCCACCACTTTCTACAAACCTGTGAGGCACAAATGAGAGGGAGGGAACATGTAAAGTAAACAGACAGAGCTTTGCTAAAATCTACAGTCAGTACATGCAGTCACGCGATGACTTGCAAGTTATGAAACACTAGTCATCCAAGAAAAAAACTTTTAAATCATCTTAATGTTCTTAATTAAAGGCATTTAGGAAGACTTTCAGCGTGAACAGCAAAGTCATAAAACAATAATTAACTGACAAACCAATGAATGTTGACGCTTTCAACGACAAGCGTTGGGAATCTGCCCTCTCTTCCTGTTATTATATAACAGCCTGACTTAAAATGCAGCCCGCACTTCCTACAGAATTTCGACACACACACTCACTCCAACCCCTCAACAAAAGACAGGACCGACTCTCACACAAAGCTCAGCTTGCAGCGCAGCGAGGAGGCAATGAGAAGCAGGGTGTGGTTTCTTCTTACGGGGCTGCTGGCCTGGCTATGCTGCCTTCGTCTGGGGCCCGTTCAGGGGGAGAAGGTGCTGGTTATGCCTGTGGATGGCAGCCACTGGCTCAGCATGAAGATTCTGGTGAAGGAGCTCGGACACAGAGGCCATGAGGTCACGGTCCTGGTGC